GGAGGGGATGCAGAGAGTGGGGAGGAAGAAGAATATAAGTGTAGGTGTGGGCCTTTGCATGCAGAGGAATTGAGTAATGTCTGGATGTTTCACTGCTAGAGCTCGCCTAGGGCTCTGCGGGGAGGTAGAGAGTGAAACTTGGGGAATGGGCTAGGGAGGAGGAAATGGTTTGAACTAATACTACTGCTAATGAGACCAGGAGGCCAGGATGGAGACCAACTTCTGGCACTTTCCTTTCTTCTTTCCTCTCTTCCCTCCCCTGTCAGAGCCACCCATTTAGCATTCAAAGATTGTAGGTACCTCATACCTTTGCTGACGCTAGCTCAGAAACAGAGCAGGGATGGGGACAAAAATCATTCCCCTGGAGAGTTGTGAGTAGGCCATTTTCACAGTAGGGATTCAACATCAGACTGTACCCATTTCTAATGCATTTCTAAGAGTTTACGTATAATTACAGCAACTGACAAATAAACTGTATTTAAAAATTCTCGAAGGAGGGGTGCTTGATAAAAGAATCCTTCAGCAAAGCAGCAGTAGTTAGAAACCATCACTGCTTAATATATCAGCTTTTTAAGTCTTCACTTTTGTATTAGCCGCTGTTAAACTGGAATACACTTGCAGCTCAGCCAGTTCATTCCATGGCTGTGACCTGGGAGTCAGCGAACACCTCTGGGTACTGGAACTCCTGTTTCTTACAGACACCACCACTCCAATTGCAATTCCTCAAAAGAGGAAGAAAGGACACATGATTCTGCTTTAAAATGGGATGTCTGCCCTATACAAACAAAAAAGAAACCCTCGGTGTGACATTGAAGCTTTTAGATTCCTGTCTCTCACCTGTGAAGTCCTGCAGTTCGGTTATAACATATGGACTCTGTCTGCAAAATGCTTCTGAAATGCTGTATTGGCACCTTGCTGCCATCTGCCAGCACATGGGCAGTGAGTCCATACGGTGCTGCTCCATTTTCTTAAATTCTGCTTTGATTATGAGCTATTGCAAGTTGTCAAGGGTTTCTCTTCCCTTTAGTGCTACAAAATGAAAGATGGCAATAGAGGTCACTGGATGTTGCTGGTTATTACCACACAAGCCAAAAATCAGATCATTTTCCATTATTTACAAGGAGCTCTGGCTACAGGGTCTGGGGACCCCATTCTAGTCTCGTTGCAGCCACTAAAGCACCATGTCATCTTGGACTAGGCACTTCATCTCTGAGTCTATTTCTTCCTCTGTGAGATGAAAATTTAAAACAAAAGATCAAGAAAAGCATGCCAACCAAGGATTTGATATTTATAATTACAATTTTTACAACAATTAAAAGGATTCAAAAGTTATAAAGCTATGCAGTTATTAAGGACAAGGAAGAAAGGATAAATGTCATTTTAATTAAATCTGCAAATGGAAACGAACGGGAAGTTCTACCAGTAACTGTGACTGTGTCTTAATGGAGTCCAAAAGAGTTTCCTCTTTGGGAAGTGTGAGCTAATACACCCACAGAGGAGTGATTTAGGACAGGGATATTTATACTGGATGGGAAATGCTGGGAAGCCGAGGTTTTATAGCAATACCCAGAGGCAAGAGTGGGCAGCTGCTGAGGTGCAACATAACATATAGATTTGAAATAGTTCCTCTTAATGTTGATGATGGATTTATCATATCACATTAGAAGTCTAGGATAGCAATCTGTAAGTTATATATGTACAGACTTTGAAAAGATTACCCTGCCTGTTTACCACCCCAGTCTGTGAATAGTTGATTAGTCTAAAAGGCAAACTCATTAGTCAACAGAGCCAAATATCAGCAGTACAACAATTGAAATTACTTTTGAGAGCCAAATTTTTTAAACTTCTTCTAATGCCATTTCTTCAAAATAGACTTGCCTAGGCAGTGGTATTTTGTGGAAGAGTCACACTCAAGGGGCCAAAGAGCCGCAGGTGGCTCAAGAGCCACAGTTTGCCGACCATGGGTCTAGGACAACAAATTTCAACCTTTTTCATCTCATGGTACACATAAACTAATCACTAAAATTCTGTGGCACATTAAATATATATATATATATATACTAGAGGCCTGGTGGGTCATTGGTCCTTTGGCCTGACATGCGATTGGAGCCCATTTGAGCTGGACCGGTGGGGAAAGAAGGAAGGGCCATGGGAGGTTGGTCAGCTGGTCTGCCCCATCTGGGCCTATAGGGATTGGCTGGCCATGGGGAGGGACCTGGGGAGGTTGGCCAGCCATGTGAGGTTGGCTATGGGAGCCAATTGACCACCAGGGGGCAGCTCCTATGTTGAGTATCTGCCCCCTGGTGGTCAGTGCGCATCATAGCGATTGGTTGTTCTGGTTGTTCAGTCCTAATGGTCACCTAGGCTTTTATATATATAGATTTTTGCCAACAAGAAATAGGTATACTTTTGATTCATTCACACCAAATAGCTATTGCCATGTTGGCTGTTGATTTTTTAAAAAAATATATTTTTATTGATTTTTTATAGAGAGGAAGAGAGAGGGATAGAGAGTTAGAAACATTTATGAGAGAGAATCATCTATCAGCTGCCTCTTGCACACCCCCTACTGGGGATGTACCTGCAACCAAGGTACATGCCCTTGACCGGAATCGAACATGGGACCTTTCAGTTTTCAGGCCAACGCTCTATCCACTGCACCAAACCGGTTTTGACTGTTGTCCTTTTTGTAATTTGACAATCTAAGGGGAAAGAGGTCAGTTCTTTTCACTAAGTAGTCTGCGCCCCTCACTAAATTTTAAAAATTCTTGTGGCACAAAGGTTGAAAATTTCTGGTTTAGTACTATGATGTCTGTGCACTACACTAGTGGCCATGGACACAGGTCATATAAAACTTACCTGAGGCTTTTTTTTTCTTTCTTTTTTAACATTTTTATTAATATCAGAGAGGAAGGGAGAGGGAGAGAGACAGAAACATCAATGATGAGAGGGAATCATTGACTGGTTGCTTCCTGCACAACCCCCCAATAGGGATGGAGCCTGCAACCTGGGCATGTGCCCTGACAGGGAATCAAACTGTAACCTCATGGTTCAAGGTGGATATCCTCATGGCCATGCAGTTGGGCAACAGAGGTTTTTGATTTGCATTTCTCTGATGTTTAGTGACATTGAGCATCTTTTCATATATCCATTGGCTATATGTATGTCCTCTTTGGAGGTTGGGTGGGGATGATGGAGGCATTGAGAAAAAAAAAAGAGATAAACTCATGGATATGAACAACAGTGTGGTGATTGCTGATGGGGAGAGGGGGGGAAGGGGGAGGGGGGAGGTGGAGGAGAGTATAGGGGGTAAAGGGTGATGGATGGAGACTTGACTTGGGGTAATGGACACATAATACAAGTGTACAGATGACGCATTGTAGAATTGTGCATCTGAAACCAGTATAATTTTGTTAACTGGTATCACCCCAATAAATTTTATAAAAAGAAAAAAAAACAACAACCAAAACTCACCTGAGGGGAAAATCCAACTGTATAAGGACACCTCTTCAGCTCCCCTCTGCTTACACACACCCTGTCAACTGCAGGGAAGGAGCTGTACCCTCAGCTACATCTTTGACTCCTGCAGGAGGCAGGCGAACCACAGGGATCCAGTTTGTGCCCAAGTCCCTTGTTATTCAACTAAAGACACCCCGAGATATTGTGAAGGCATTCTATATAGCTGCAGGGAAGATCCTGGCACAGTGCACCACCAGCAGTGCTTGGGTAGAGAGCGAAAATAGCCTGCTGTTATTCCACAGAATGTCTTGATTTCTTGGTAGAAACAATCCTAGCAGAGCAAACTGCTCTTTGCCTCCAGTCAACCTTCTGGGTTTGCTCAGCTGCCCAAGCTCTGGGCAAACGGATGGACATCTGTGAGAGCAGAGGGAACAGATGACCCTCAGCTAAAGCCGGCATTCGGGTTATGCCTATATGCCTCAGCCATAGGCGAGGGCCCTCACTTTAGGGTGCTCAGGAGACAGAGTGATGGTAACTGGAGCCCTGTGGCTGGTAATCTAGGGGGTCCCAAAGTCAGACACCGCCTCTCCCTTCTTTTCCTTCAGGCTGTGGTCTAACACGGAGCAGGAGACATTTCCTTGGATCCCCTCCTGGGGATTCCCTGTGCTTCTGGGCAACGTAGCCTTGACCATTTCTAACAGGCATTACCTAGCATATTCTGACCCCAGGAGAGGGGACACCCTGCCCAATGTTCCGTTTGCCTTCACTGTTTCATACTTTCCTGCACCAGCAGCCTCTGACCCCGCCTCAGTGCACATTTTGCCCCCTTCTCCCCCCCCCCCCCCCCCGCCCCTTTGTGACCCTTATGCAATCGTCAGTTCTCAACAGGTCCAGTCAGAGAGGAAGCCTCCCATCAGTGCTCCCCAGACATGAGCAGACAATATTTACCTGGAAGGCTTATTGAAACAGATGGTTGGCCCCTGCCCCTAGTTCCTTCTCTGGGGTAGTAGACAGAGCCCCATCATTTGCATTTCTAACAAGTTCTTGGGAGGTGCTACCAGGTGGGGCCACTTTGAGAACCACTGTCTGGGATAAAAGGAGATGCCCCGGCAGGCTCACTCAGGCCATTTCCCCCTCTCCGTAGGAGATTCTGTCTTTGGGACTCTGTTTCTAAGGGTTGTACTTCTGTCCCCCAGGAACCTGCAGATAGAGGGTTGTTAGAGACGAATCCTGTGGGCACTCCCAGCCCCGCTCAACTTTGCTCCCACCGCTCCTCACTGGCTTCCACTGCAAACGCTGCCCTCCCTCCCTCAGTGGTGTGAATTATTCACCTCATTCCCTACTCCTGGCCTTAAGTGCAATCTTTTCAGCAACTTCGCAGCGGTGGCCGGGCTCGCCACGCGCTCCAGCGCTCCGCAGCACCCGGAAGCTCCCCTGTGCTGTGCGGCTCAGCTCCCGGCGCCAGCCCAGCCTGGGCGCAGGGGCCATTGGCGTGCTGGCCCTGCTGGCTCCGCTCCGCCGCGGGGGAGGGCGGGCGCTGGAAGCTCCGGCGTAGAGCTCCGCGAGCCGAAGCCCGACAGGGGGGAGGGGGTGCAGCAGCGTCAGGTGGCAGCTCTGCGTCCCCGCGCGCCGCCCAGTCAGTCCCTGCTCAGCGCTCAGCCTCTGCGGAGCCAGAGCACCTCCAACCCCGCAGACTGACAGACGCGTTGGGGCGGGAGACCCCAGCGGCGGGGAGAAGCCGAGATGTGATCCCTGCGATTGCCCACTGCCCTCTCTGGCTCCTGCCTTGCTTCTCCTGCTTCCTTTTCCCTCTCCGCGCGGTCCCTGGACGGCGAGTTTTTGCCTCGATCTCCAGGGAGAGAGGAGCGGACCCGAGGCGCGCAGCCCGGCCGAAGTTGATCCAGCTGCGGGGACGGTGGACCGGGGCCAGGGGAGAGAGAGGAAGGCGCAGCGAAGGGGTCTGCGTCTGGCCAAGAGGGACTGGAAGAGAGGCGCTGGAGCTGGCTCTTCCCGCTCCCCCGCCCCGGGGCGCGGGGCAGGGGGAGACATGGTGAGCCCGCGCCTGGGCGCCGGCGGCCACCGCGGCGGCGGCAGCAGCCTCGGCAGCAGCCTGAGCATCAGCACCGGCGGGAGCGGGACAGCGACAGCGGGGGCGGCGCAGGCGCACTGTGCCCCGCGGAGGAGCCTGCAGTTCCCGAGCCCCGTGTGCGGCACCGCCACAGTCTGGGCAGCAGCGGCCGGGGGAGCGCTACTACCATGAACTGCCTGGTCCTCCTCCCCAGAGCTGCTCATCCGGGTCGGGCTGGAGACACAGTCTGGGGACCCCGCCGCCGCCGCCGCGCCCCCTCTTCTTTCGGCGGCTCCATCGTCTCCTCTTCCACCTTTTCCTCCTCTTCCTCTACCTTCTCCTCCTCCTCCTCCTGCATCCCCCCCTCCCCCGCCGCGGATCCTGGCCGCCGCTCTCCAGACCCAGGATGCCGGGGGGCAAGAGAGGGCTGGTGGCACCGCAGAACACGTTTTTGGAGAACATCGTCAGACGCTCCAGCGGTAAGAGGAGTTGCAGTTCAAAAACACCCCACTGCTGTCCTGCCTATGCGCGCCCCCCATCCTCCCCATCCCATCCCTCTCCCGGAGGGAGGGGTGGGGGATGCAGGCAACCCTACCTGGTGGCTTCAGTTAAGAGCCGGACCTGATTTGGGGTGGGGGCAGGAATGAGGTGGTGGTGGTGGTGGTGGAAAGTTAGTTGCATACCCTCCTCTCAACGTGTGCACACCCCCCCCCCCCCGACCTGTCCAGAACCAGGAATCGGAGGGAGCTAAGGGGGAGCTGGTAGGGTGTAGACACGTCTAGAGAATAGAGTTGAGTTTCAGTTTGGTGAGGGATGTTTTCTTGTTCATCCTCTTTCCACACCTCCCTCTGGCACCCAAGTAGGCTGCAGAGACTGAAGGAAGTAGAAGAGTTTAGTTAATCTCAGTGCCAGGGTTTCCCTCAAGTTGGGAATGGCTGCAAAAGTGGCTACTTGATAAGATTCAGTCTCTGGATTTTGGGCCCAGTGGGTTCCGCTGAGAGGAGCCTTGGGCGAGGGGGAGTAATTGAAGTTGAACCTCATGAAGAGAGTATTTGAAAAGTGGGAAGACAGTTACCATGGTCACATTGTGTTGAAAGTTTCTTTCTTTTCTTGTTTTTAATTGTGCATTGACCTATAATGATTCATATGGTATTTGATTTGACTAAAACAGGAGCAATGTAGAAGGGAAACTAAAAAACTGTGCTTTTACAATAATTGGAGAAAGAATTTTAAAAACGACATTTTACCTTGCTACCGATGTGATGGTTTGCTTACCTTAAAGTGTCACCTTAGTGTCGACAAAATATCACCATTTATGCACTTATTGCCTCCACGGTGTTGGTGAATGATGATTCTTATATTTTTCATATTTTAAGATCTTGTAAACTTTGCATTTTACTGATATCTCTACATCTTCTACTTGTTTTTAATTCTTTTACATAATTTTCAAATTTTTATCGGGAAGATATGTAAAGTATCTTTTAAAGTGTCCTCCCCTCCCCCTTTTGAGGCCTGTATTTTATTTTGAGATCCCTTGCTTGCAGAATTATGAGAGGGAAATTTCTGCATATTGATTAGTATAAAGCTTAGACCAAAACAATTGAAATACTCTCTGTATTTCCATAAGTGTTTATTCATTCCTTTGCTCATTCATTAAAACAATATATTTTTGGGTGCCTTATACAACAGACACTCTGTGAGGTCCTTTGGATTAAGAAATGATTAAGACACTTCAGTTCTGAAGAAGTTCCCTGCCTAGTGGGTAAGACCAAAGGACACTCAACTATAATTATGCTTTCCCTGAATTGGTAGAATATATTATATTAACTCTTATATTAGGATCCCTTCTAAAACTAGGCTTGCACATTTTTCTCCTGATTTTGGGACTATATATATTTAACTGTCCCAAGCTATTTTTCATAAAGTTCTGACGAATGACTTTATTTCTCCCACTGTGGTCAGTACCTGGTACTATACAAGTCTAAAGTAGACTTTCTGGGTTGGAAAAAAGAAAGAAAGAAGCTGATTGGCCTGATCTAATTTAAGAAACCTATACTATTTTTTAGCCATTCCAGTGTAATTTCAAATGTGTTATTGTTTTCTGTGATGATATAAAATATAAATTTACAATGGTAGGCAATTTCTATGTTTGTCTACTACTTTTTTTGTATTCATATTACTCACCTCAAGTACAAGGGGATATTACTGTTAAAACAACCAGTTGGGGAAATTTAAAGGTTATTAGAATCAGTTATTTAAGACACATGAGTGTTATTTCAGCTTTCTCATCCTCTTGAGTTATTTCACCTCCTTGTAGTTTGGTCTGTGAAAGAACTTTTCAGAATAAAGAATAAAACCATGGGCTCTATAGGGTAACCAGAAGGTCACAGTTCTTGGACTGAAGTTTACTAATACAGCATCTTTGAAACTTTGTATACAGACTGGAACTATGAGCAGGCTTTTAAATTACATTTTATTTCAGAAATACCACGAAATTGAGACTTACCTTGTGTGGCTTAGAAACATCTGCTTCTGTTGCCTCCATTTTACTTCTTCCATCTAAACGTGTGACTATTCTATCTTTTCCACATGTCATGATTATAATGCTTCATTGGTTCAATGGTTCTTGTTATGGAAAACACCTAGTACAAATGAAAATTTATCTGTTTTGGCATTTTACATACCATCTCTAATTGCTTATGGATAACTTTTCATACCACAACTCAAAAGCTCTGAGCTTTGTTTGAAATGTGTTAGATACTTAAAGTTAGTATATGCACATGTGTATGTAATAAGAACTGGAAAGTCTCAGGACCGCTTATATAGGAAGAACCCTGGAAAATAAGGATGACAGTATTAAATTGGTCTACATATTCATGTGAGAGTATCCCATAGTTGTCATTTCTATATAACTTGGCAGAGAAATAAATTCATGCTGAGAAGTTGTTTAATTGAGATTAATGAAGAAAATGCTCTTCAGAATTCTCACATATTGAGTTTGTCACAGTGATTTCACTGTTATCTAAATCAAGCATGTCAAACTCGTGGCCTGCGGGTCACATGTGGCCCACATGAATATGTTTGCGGCCCAGCCAATGTAATGGTGTGAGCAGTTATTTACAATTTGAAAGGAAATAAGTCTCCTGTCAGATCCAGAATTACTAACATTCACTTTGGGTAGATTTTGAAAGTAATTAAAAATCTGTGAACAAGATTTTCCCCGAAGTAGGAAAGATAGTAGCAGAGAAGAGATGCTGAGTGTCAGGTAGAAAACAATTTTTATCAGTGCTTAAATATATATATATATATATATATATATTTTTTTTTTTAATTGTTTTTTTTTTTTTTTACAGAGAGGAAGGGAGAGGAATAGAGAGTTAGAAACATCGTTGAGAGAGAAACATTGATCAGTTGACTCCAGGCCCTTGACTGGAATTGAACCTGGGAACCTTCAGTCCAAGGGCTGATGCTCTATCCACTGAGTAAAACCGATTAGGGCTATCATTGCTCTTTTTTTTTTTTTTTTTTTTTTAATGCTATACTTTTCAAAATAAACCTACATTTCTATGAAATTTGAAGATTTTGTTCTTTTGCAGCCCATATAAACTTAAACCTTGTTTATTTGGCTCATGTTAGCCTTTGAGTTTGACATGCTTGCTTTAAATTAACAACATTGAAAGTGAAGTGTTGGTAGAGTTTTAGTGAAAAAAAGGAAAAGAAAAGAAGAGAAAAGAAAAGAAAAGGAGGCAGTACTCCCAATATATTGATATTTAAGAACTGGAGAGATAGCCTGGGATTGTCTGTTTACCTTTACCCCATGAAATGCTTCTCTTTCTGGTGCGTTTCTTTCTTATAAAAAGATCAGATCTTTTAGCGAGAGTCAGATGAAATAGAAACATACACATAGAGATGCACATAGAGAAACATATGGACCAGCATCCACCTAGATACAAAGATAGATGCAGAAGAAAACCCTCTCTTTTTCACAAACCCAGAAATGTAGAAAGTAACAGAAATACAGAGGGAAGTAGGGTGAGAGGAAGAGAGTGAGAGGAAGGAGGGAATGGGGAGGGACAGAGGAAGAGAGATTAGACATGAAAGGGAAACAGATACAAAGCAAAAACAAAACAGGCTTATTTGTCCATGGATATCACTAATGAGCTGAAATCTCAGCCAATTAGAAATCCATCAGAGAACTTCTTGATAACGCAGAACCAAAGAGCAAGGAGCCTGGTATATTTGGGTATACTTTTTAAATGTGAGGAGTTCCTAGTAAAATTTCAAACTCCTCAGTTGCAATTTCCCAGAATAATGTTGCTATATTCTGTGCCCTAGAGTAGCACTGTAGCCTATTTGCTGTTGTTTCACACCTGATGAGGGGTTTTTATTTCCCTTATTTAGTTAACTCAGTCCGTTATGGGAAGGCATTTCAAATTATTACTGGTGATTCAAAGTCTGTAAAATAAAATAATGAGGGCCATTGAGTAGGATGGACACACATGCACACATGCACGCATTTTATAGACAAATACCAAAATATTAGAAATATACTGAAACAACTTCTTTCAGTTTAAAGATAAAAGGCAAGATCATTTTAGATGAATAAAAGGAATTACACTAATTCTTGGCATGTGATTCCAGTAGGTAGAGAGAGAACATTATTACTCCAAGAAGTTGTAAAGGTCAAAAGCATAAAAAGCAAGGTTTAGATACTTTTTTTTTTCTTTTTGCGCCTGCAGGAATAACTTGGTAGGTAGGGAAAGTTTAGGAACTACATGGTGAGTTCATAACACCATAGAAAGTCTCTGCCCCAAAGTACTATTGACCAAATCTGTGACTGGAACACTATTAGGCTATCTTCCATTATTTTAATTTCAATTATTTATGCAAGCTACTCATCAATATATATTAGGCTGTAAGGAGCTGCAAGATCCTGGGCAAAGGGAAATAAAACAACAGTTTTCAGGACTATTGAGTGGGAATTTTAAATTATAAAACAAAATAAAACATTTCTAAGGACTTTATTTGGTTATATCTTTGGCAGCACATGCTATTCAGACGTTGTCTGATTCCTTGAGAAGTCAGCAGAAGTGGTTATTTTGGGTGATGGTAAACTAGGTTGCCATTTCGAAAAATTATAACTTTGAAAATAATGTATTTTTATTACAAATTAAGTATTACTCTTTAATATTTTAAACATTATGGAAAACTAGAAATGTTTTTCTCTTTAGAGAAAAAAAAATGGACTCAGGAAAGTAGGCAGAAGTGGCAGTATGTTATGAACCACTTAACTTTCAAGAGAAGTTCAAGATACTCAATTTCGACCTTTCTAGAGGTACCCAGTTTGCACAGCCATTTCTATATGCAGTGATTTCTTATAGGAACATCCACAGTTATTTTTGTACTGTAATTAATATTTGTAAAGACTGAGATCTTAAAGGAGAACCTGTGGGAGAGGAGAGAGAGAAACTAGTGATTT